TGTTAGAATGAGCCGTTTTAGGTAGGCGTGGCTGACTCTTAACTTTTATAAAGAATATCTCTTTGGATTTGAGACTTTAGACTTTGCAACTTTACAGATCTTCTTTATGCACCAAGAGCTTTTAACACTTCAAAGAGAAGGGAAAACTTGAAATCGCATCATATGACCCCTTTAATGACTAATAATATAGCTAGTTATATCCTTGTTACCAGAGCAATAACTTTCTAATTTGAATGACTTTCAATTCATTGCCTCAAATTTTCCAATACTTTGTTGAACTAGAAAAAGTTTGGCAATAACTGGTCATATTCCAAACAATACAAACAGTTTGGAGTGTACATCTCGTCATCTTGATTTCCATCATCTCAGACATTTCACACAGTACCCGCGTTAATTTTGACAGGAAATTTTCATTTAGTTTTAGTCTTTTGGCTAAAATGTCATATAGTTTTAGTCATATTTTAGTAATTTGAACTGTTTTAGTTTTAGTCTAGTTTTGAAAGTCTGACTATATGGAATGAAACTTGAATATATGGAATGGAACTCAGAATATATGGAATGAAACTTGAATATATTGAATGAACATCTGAATATATGGAATGAAAGTCTGAATAGATTGAATGAAAGTCTGAATATATGGAGTGAAAAGTGAATATATTGAATGAAAGTCGGAATATATTAATTCCATATATTCAAGTTTAATTCCATATTCGTTTAATTCCACATATTCAGACTTTCATTCCATATATTCAAGTTTCATTCTATATATTCAAGTTTCATTCCATATATTCAAGTTTCATTCCATATATTCAGACTTTCATTCAATAGGGGCGTAGCAACCATTTTAAAAGTGGGGGGGGGGGACAGCTGTCAGGTGATGTGACCCTCAACGGCCAAACAAATTATGTACATAATGTACAAAGTACATTCATGTTCACATAATAAATTCTATATAGAATACTAATTGGTTACCTAATGGCAATTTTGGGAACATGCCATGATATCTTACAGGAAGCAAGACAGCTTACAGGGACCTATTTTTTGTGATATCAGACTCAAAAACACTAACTCTAACCCTAATTCAAAAATAACTGCAGGACTTGGGACTTTGAGAACACTGTGGACATCTATACTTTATTTTTATTAAATAAAGATATTTTATGCACAATATTTCAGTTACACTACACTTAAACGATAACTTTTATCCTAATTCTTAACAGTTGGACAAAAAAGCCCAAGATATGATTCGCCTTGTGATTGGCTGTTAGTTCACTCAAATCTAAATAAACAAATCAGAGAACATGGGCGGAAATATCAAAATACTCCGCGGCTGCTACACCCCTGTTAGCAGACATAGGCAAAGTGCACAGGTTGTTAGGATTGCGCTGCCTATAGTGTGGGATGCCTGGTTTGCGAGTTGTAGTAATAGTAGGGATATGGAAACACATAGTTAAGAGTTGGTCATAAAAACTGAAACCGAATTGAAGAAAGGTGTAAAAAAGAGGTTGAGTCAAAAGTGATAATTATGTCCCTTTTCTGTGTCGCTGCACTGTGGAGTCGCACGGTAGAGTCGATGGTCTTTACACTCTTCGCTCTTCACACGAGGGTTGCCGCGGTGTACTAACCTTTTTTTATACCCGTTTGACAAAACGGAAATTGAATTCAGCTGAACATTTTTCATGAGCTGAAGAAATAGGCCTTTTGTGTACATAGAAAAAGTCTTAGATCTTTGAGTTCAGCTCATGAAAAATGGTGGCAAAAACAAAAGTGTTGCATTTATAATTTTGTTCAGTGTATAGATATGTATTATGGCATGCCGTTCAGGAAATTATGGTATTTATTATATGAAGTTTGAGTATATGTAATGAAAGTCTGAATATATGGAATGAAACGAATATATGGAATGAAACTTGAATATATAGAATGAAACTTGAATATATGGAATGAAAGTCTGAATATGTGGAATTAAACGAATATGGAATTAAACTTGAATATATGGAATTAATATATTCCGACTTTCATTCAATATATTCACTTTTCACTCCATATAATATTCGTTTAATTCCACATATTCAGACTTTCATTCCATATATTCAAATTTCATTCTATATATTCAAGTTTCATTCCATATATTCAAGTTTCATTCCATATATTCGTTTCATTCCATATATTCAGACTTTCATTACATATACTCAAACTTCATATTATAAATACCATAATTTCCTGAACGGCATGCCATAATACATATCTATACACTGAACAAAATTATAAATGCAACACTTTTGTTTTTGCCACCATTTTTCATGAGCTGAACTCAAAGATCTAAGACTTTTTCTATGTACACAAAAGGCCTATTTCTTCAGCTCATGAAAAATGTTCAGCTGAATTCAATTTCCGTTTTGTCAAACGGGTATAAAAAAAGGTTAGTACACCGCGGCAACCCTCGTGTGAAGAGCGAAGAGTGTAAAGACCATCGACTCTACCGTGCGACTCCACAGTGCAGCGACACAGAAAAGGGACATAATTATCACTTTTGACTCAACCTCTTTTTTACACCTTTCTTCACTTCTGTTTTTGTTTTTATGACCAACTCTTACTATGCGTTTCCATATCCCTACTATTACTACCACTCGCAAACCACACATCCCACACTATAGGCAGCGCAATCCTAACAACCTGTGCACTTTGCCTATGTCTGCTAACAGGGGTGTAGCAGCCGCGGAGTATTTTGATATTTCCGCCCATGTTCTCTGATTTGTTTATTTAGATTTGAGTGAACTAACAGCCAATCACAAGGCGAATCATAGAAAAGGGACATAATTATCACTTTTGACTCAACCTCTTTTTTACACCTTTCTTCAATTCGGTTTCAGTTTTTATGACCAACTCTTAACTATGTGTTTCCATATCCCTACTATTACTACAACTCGCAAACCAGGCATCCCACACTATAGGCAGCGCAATCCTAACAACCTGTGCACTTTGCCTATGTCTGCTAACAGGGGTGTAGCAGCCGCGGAGTATTTTGATATTTCCGCCCATGTTCTCTGATTTGTTTATTTAGATTTGAGTGAACTAACAGCCAATCACAAGGCGAATCATATCTTGGGCTTTTTTGTCCAACTGTTAAGAATTAGGATAAAAGTTATCGTTTAAGTGTAGTGTAACTGAAATATTGTGCATAAAATATCTTTTTTTAATAAAAATAAAGTTTAGATGTCGACAGTGTTCTCAAAGTCCCAAGTCCTGCAGTTATTTTTGAATTAGGGTTAGAGTTAGTGTTTTTGAGTCTGATATCACAAAAAATAGGTCCCTGTAAGCTGTCTTGCTTCCTGTAAGATATCATGGCATGTTCCCAAAATTGCCATTAGGTAACCAATTAGTATTCTATATAGAATTTATTATGTGAACATGAATGTACTTTGTACATTATGTACATAATTTGTTTGGCCGTTGAGGGTCACATCACCTGACAGCTGTCCCCCCCCCCCACTTTTAAAATGGTTGCTACGCCCCTGACTGCTAATACACTACTTTCTTTTTCTATTGGTCTCTGGAATTGTCAGTCTGCCGTAAACAAAGCAGATTTAATTACATCTATTACTAGTCATTCAAGACTAAACCTCATAGCCCTGACAGAGACGTGGATCAAACCAGAGGACACTGCTACTCCTGCAGCACTCTCCAATAATTTCTAATTTTCCCACACTCCCTGTCTG